CTTAATACCTCAATCAGACTCCCCCCCCAACTCTTCTTTTTTCAAGAGAAAACAATTTGAGAGATTTCAGATTCTTGTCATATGACAACCCATCCATCGCAGGCACCATTCTAGTAACCCTTCTCTGAATCCTTTTCAACAATTCAATGTCCTTTCTAAGGTAAGGAGCCCAAAACTGAACACAATATTCCAAATGTGGCTTAACCAGTAACCTGTACAATGAAAGTATAATCTCTTTAGACTTGTATTCAATATCTATAGATACAACCTAAAATCCTATTTGCCATACCACTAGCAACAGCACACTGCTTGGATGGCTTTAGAGACTGATTGACTATTACACCAAGATCCCTTTCCTTCATGACACTATTGAGGTAATTCCCATCCAAATTATACTTATAATTTAAATTATAACCCACATGCACTATCTTGCATTTATTATAATTAAAACCCATCTGCCATTTATTTGATCTAAATATAAATATCTAAATATAAATGCCATATAAATGATCGAAATCCTTTTGTAAATCAGCAGCATCCTCTTTACAACAAGCATCTTAATATGATCTGCAAATTTAAGTAATTTATTGACTATACCTTCATCTATGTCATTAAGACTTAACTTTAATACTTGCTGTTCTTAATCAATATTTTTCAGTTTGTATCCATGATTTACATTTTAAACCAACTAAGTTCCATGTACTTATATCTTTTTTAAAATTATAAATAGGATTAAAATTTAAAATGAAGAATAGAAATATTTATTTGGCAGAAGGCCAAAATTAAAAGACTACCTGCATGTTTTGATAGCTTTACCCTACCATTATGTTGAGTAAATATATACATGACAAGTGGGTAGGTTTTTGTAGAGAAAAAGTTTAACTCATTGTAATGTACGAGAGTATTATGAGTGTTATACATAAGAAGTCAGTAATTCTTTTCATTTCTATTTAACAAAAACTATTTAATTTACAGCACCATATTTCTGTTGGTTCTCTGATCTCATGGCTAATCTAATATTCTGCTCCTAATACTTTTCATTTACTATGAAAAAGTTTTCTACACACACACACACACAATAATTAAATTAATGATATCAACTTAGATGTTTTTGGTTACATGGTTCTATACATGTTTTAAAGCAGAAATATAATTATTGCAAGATTCAGTCCTCTAAATCTTTTGTTTTTCAGACTGAGAAAGTGCTGATAGAAAGTAACAATAACACAACTTTCATTCTAATGCTACAAAGCAAGGAAGAAAATGTTTTGTATACAGCTTGTGATGCCATCCTCAAAGTAGCAAAGAAAGGTAATTCCACTTCAAAATGTTTAGATTGAGATTATGAAATGAAAATACATATTTTTGTATAAATATTTTCTGCATGAAAAGATTTAAAACCATGAAATATTGTGATGATCTAAGTTGAGAGTTGTGTCACTGTGTTTGAAGCCCTTGTAGCAGAGTAGGGGGGAGACCAGCAGTCATAAAATACTGGTGTGATTAAGTCCTAGTCATGATAAACTGATTTTCACATTATTAAATTGTATGAGAAAAAAAAAGATTCATTTACAAAGAAATATAACTGAATATGACAGAAGTTAAGAAACTAAAAATCTACTGTTATTGCCAGGCAAATTACCACAAGTGGAGACTGTTAATTATTAATTTTAACTCTTGTTAAATAGACATGACTTAAATCTTGTTACCACCAAATACTATGGTAATTTTTGTATTATATTCGTCAAAATTACATATGAACAACACAGATCAGTTGGTCCTTCAAGGTGGTCATTGCACAGTAACCACTCTAGAGAATTAAAAAGAAAGCATTAAATTCCAGAAAGCATAAGTTCTCCTTTTAAACTCCTGTAAAGTTCCAGTCATCATTACTGCCAACAGTAGCATGTTCCATCACTTTGTTAGAAAAATAAAATCTTAACTGTAATTTAACATGTCTTTCTCTAATATGACCACTCACCTCTGTACACAGATAAGTATTTTTTTTCTTTCTGCCTGAAAGACCTTCATACCACGGGCCTTGTGTAACTCGCACCTAAAATTCATGTGAGAACATGTGAAATTGCACTGCTACATGATGACATAACCCTCCTTGCACAAATGCTCTCTCTATATTCACATGCAAAGATCCTTATTCTTTTCCTAGGCACGGTCGTGCAAAGATATGTTTAATTTAGTTGAGACTTGTTGAAATATTTTACTTCAACTACTTTGTGTTTTCAATTTGAATTCACAAATAAACGTGCATTTGTTTTTTTTTTGCTGAAGTGAGTACAAATATCACTCACAGTTACCAACAGTTAAGAAAGTTCTTTGCCTGTTGTAATTGTGACAGCCATTGTCCAGCATGTAGTAGGGTCCATGGTACCACTTGGACCCTCTTCTTCCATCTCTTTCATACATTTCCCTTCACAATATTTTGAAGCTGAAGTTAAGGAAGGCGAAATGGAGTGATTTTTCCCATCCAATACTTCTCTACTTGATGTATATCTTTTGATTTTTCCTGCCCATCTTATGTATACCTTCTACCCATGGTTTCCTTTCTTCTCCCTGACCAGTCAGTTCTGCACTTGGAATTTTCTTCAGGTTTAAATTCATTCCAACTGTTTTATGCCTTGTCCTTCCTGTCTTACCAGGTAACTTGTAACAGTTACTGTTTAGATATAGTTTTTTCCACCTTAACACATAACTCATAGAGCTTAATCTTTAGACATCATGTATTACTCCTTAACATGTCCACATGATGATGACAAAACCTTGTCAAAACGTCGTACATTTGCTGTTATGTTAAACTTGTATTATAGTTTTTCTTCATTACCCATTCAAGCCGTCTCCAAGCATTATATGATATATCATTTAGATCTAGTTTGTTACCCCTTAATGTCTACCCCATAGAAAATAATATTTAGTCATAGTTATGTACTCCTTAAAATATACCACTTTAATATATCATGATTAGTCATAGTTCATCACTCATTCATGTCAGACTTACTTATTCCTTACCTTGTTAACATAGATGTTAATCTTTAGTTACATTAGTTGCTCGTTAACACGTAATATATAGATGTTAATATTAAATTCTGGTTGATTATTCCTTAACATGTTCATGTAGAAGGTATTGTTTACATCTAGTTCATTACTTCATCACATTTACACATGAAAGATAATGCTTATTCTTAGTTGATTATACCTCTCCCATGTACACATCCATGTTAATGTCCTCAATATGTCCACATATAAGATAATGTTTTGATATCACTATATAGCTCATTACTCCTTAACTTGCAACTTACTAGAGATAAAAGTTTAGACATAGTTAATTTCTCCTTGATGTGTTC